ATGGTGATCAAAGGAGCCCTATTTGCCCTGTTATGGTTTATTGGCAGAGTTAGTGGATTAGGCTCACAACTGTGTGCAATCAGGCTGCTAAATTTATTTGGAAACCATTCGCAGAGGAAGGCGATTCCTTCATTTCAAAGGTCACCTGTGAAATTCTGTGTGTTCCCCGTAACGAATGAGGCCTAGGAATTTTGAACCCTTATCGTCAGAACTCTGGAATGTTATGCCAATGGATTACTCGGGCTAGCCAGACCTACCCATCAACCCACTGGGTGCATCTAGCCGAACAGATTCTGTCACGAGAATGGAACGTACCCCGTCCAACAAATGTTTGGACATGCCTGTTGCTGCACTCATATCAACGAAGACATATAAAATCTCCTTTCTGTGCACCGATAATTAGTGCTTGGAAAAAGATTCGTCCAAACGCCTGGAACACACACATCAGGGATGGCTCAGGAAACTGGTTTTTATGCAGACTCAGCTACATCCAGTTTCGGTCGCTCTTGGATCGAAAGGGGGGTGCTGAGAATTCATTACTTATGGGACCCCATACTGGGCAACTGGAAAACTGATGTTGCCATGCGGAACCGTATTGGGTCAGTTGTGATTGGTGGAGGAGCGGAGAAAAGCCCTGATTGAAGCAATTCCCCAAAATGGAAAGACCTGCTTGCCCCGGCGGGTATATCCCCCCGGGAACATGGTTTTCAGGAGATCAATCCACTACAGATGTGGTATGGAAACTTTCGGCAATTGCCATTGATGGAAAAAGTGAGTTGGAATGTTGGAAGGTGCACAATGAATTGCTGCAGATAAGAGGAGGCCCGGAGGGTAATAACCGACCCCCATTGGGAACGCAGGTGCAACACGTAAGAGTTCTAGCCTCAGAGATCCCCGATGATGCTCCTCGATATCAATTACAGCCAAACGGGACATCCGTTCTTAAATTGAGACTGGACCCTGCCCTATGGGAGTGGTCTATTGTAGRCAAAAGAKGAATGAATGCTTCAATAGCTGATTACTCGACAAAAAATGGTTATGCTGTGCTTTCCCYTTTGAAAAGTCCACAAGTCGTAGCAAGAGTCAGATGGATGYAGTTAATCGMTGTTCCTGCTCATGAGATAGACARAGCTCTTAGGGTCTGCTGGTCTCAATTGAAGATGATAGCTAACCAAAGACATGCTTCTCTATTGTGGTTGGTCTCCTTAGTAGCTACCCCTTCAGCAGTATGGCTTGCCGAACGTGGTATGACACTGCGTCTCAGTGCAGCTGGGCGTTTGAATCAACAATCCACTTATGGTGGGATTGTCCTGTTTCAGCCCGAATCTCTGGAAATGGTGGCAAAAACACTGGGACGACATCTCTGGACCAGCATTTGAATGGACAAGGCAATGGACGCTTTTGGGAGGCGTCCCTATCGGGGTACAGAAAACCAGAGGGTGGGGCTACATGGCCCAAACAAACCCGAGCTTTCTGCTTCAATGTCATCTGGCAAGAAAGGAATCAACGAACTTTCCAGGGAACAGACCTCACCAATCGGCAGATCAGACGAACAATCAAGTCCCAAATTCGCCAGGCCATCCAAGCGGACTGGCAACGGAAAGTGACTATGTCACAAAGTTCTCGTACAGGAATCAATTGGTTAAAACAAACATGGGCTCGGAGCAGCCACCTCTGTAAGATTTTAGACAACATGCAGTTGTGCATTGACGTTTGGTGGTTCCAAGATTAATCTTCGGCAGTTGAGAGGGATGGTGGTAGCAGCTGAAAGCCGCGCATGCTTGTAGTCGGCTGTTGGTTCTTAGGTTTAGCGTATCTTTGTGTGGGACCAGATTGGTTCCTCTTCTATCCTTTTGAACTTTATCTGTTGCTGTAGTTGTGTAGTAACTGTAGTTGGATTTTGTTTTATGTTTTAGTTTTGCTTTATTTTGCAGTAACAACCTGGCACTCGGTTGAAGGGTAGGGCGGCAGGAGGCAGGCAGACCGGAGGATGGAGCTGAGGGAGCTCTGTGGAAGGAGGCGCTAGTAATAACAGGGATCTCAGACTGACTTCTCTTCGTTTAAACCCGGCTTAGGGGCGGTTGGAAAGCTTCATTTTATGTTTGTTTGGTTTGGCGGGCCGTGAGGGCATAATGGTTGTTTCTTCCCAGGGTTGGGAAATGTCATCACAGCGGTCCTGATTTGGCCATACAGTGACTGGACTAAAATTCCCAACGCCTGCACCAAAGCTGGGTAATGGTCCCAGTATTGTGTATTTTGCTTTCCGGGTTGTTTGTGGAGGGATTCCCGGCGGCCTCCCCCTTTTTTAGTATAAGAATGGGCAGAGTTTCTTGTTAAAAAAAAAAAGAAAAAAAAAAAGAAGAAGAAGTGTGCAGAAAAACGTGGCTGGTCCTAAGACTCCTAACCCTGTTATGGCCTCTTTTTCCGAGAGTCCACTTCGAGTAGAGGTGGACAAACGAGGCATTTGGGTGGACGTCTATTAGCCCTCAGGTGCATCCTGGCCGGGTCGCGAAAGCGATCATATACATCCGTGAAAGTGGTAGACTAAGGGCCTTGCTGCGCTACACTTGATTCACAAAAAAATTCAAGTGTAGATCAAGGGCCTCGCTGCACTACTCATGAAATGTGCTTTTTCAGGAGCTGCTCATCGCTGCACGACTCGTGAATTTGGCCGTCACAAAACACATCAAGAGTTGTCAGACGTTACTGTCAAGAGCTGGCACCGCTGCACTACCTTTGCCTTGTCGCTCGTGAAAATGTGTTTCACGAGCTGTCAGGGACCGTCGGCCGAAGTCATCTGGAGCCTCGCTGCACCACTCGTGACTCGTGAAAAAAATCAAGAGTGCGGCATGAGTTATCAGAGTCCCGAAATAGCCTACAGTTTGGCCGTGGCTGCACTTACTCTAGATAGTCCTGCTCATGAAGCACTGCAGTGCAACGTGGTTTGTCCGCCCAGACCCAGGCTTGCTCTAGAAATCCTGTGCCCTTTCAAGAAACCGTCCGACCACCCTTGCAAAAACCAAGGTTGCAGGCAGGCGAGCAAGAGTGCACTAGATGTCTTTGTCTGACGGCGCCCTGACAGCTCATGAAATGTGATTTCACGAGCGACAAGGCAAGAGTAGTGCAGCGACGACAACTCTTGACTTTTGCAAGAGTAACGTCTGACAGCTCTTGATGCGTTTTCCAACAGCCCAATTCACGAGTAAGTGCAGCGATGCGCACCTCATGAAAAAGCACATTTCATGAGTAGTGCAGCAAGGCCCCTAGAGTGCTCTTGCTCGCCTGCCTGCAACCAAGGTTTTTGCAAGGGTGGTCGGATGGTTTCTTGAAAGGGCACTGGATTTCTAGAGCATGCCTGGGTCTGGATGGACAAACCAGGCTACACTGCACTCCAGGATTCACAAGAGCATGACAAGAGTGCTTCATGAGCGGGACTATCTAGAGTAAGTGCAGCCACGACCGAACTCTACGCCATTTTGGGAATCTGACAACTCATGCCGCACTCTTGATTTTTTTTCACGAGTCATGAGTAGTGCAGCGAGGCCCCAAGAGCTCTCAGACAAGAGAACTGCTCACAATAGCCTTCGTCACTGCACCGACTCTCGACGGCCCTACTCTTGAAGGATTCTTGATTTGTTTTTTGTTTTTTTTTCCCAGTCGTGAATGCTACAGGACCGTGCCATGCTGCTTTGTCCGCCCAGACTGGAGGCCCCCTCTTGAAAGCTGAAGAGCTCGGGCCTCGCTGCACTACTCTAGACTCTCAAAGTTTTGAGAGTGGATCTTCGCTGCACTTACCCTGCATCCGGAAACTCTCGGAACAGGATAGAGAGCTGTCAGATGCCATGCTACAAGGCCACTCTCGCCTGCAAAAAACGAATTTGCTAGTGTCCTTGGGAGTTGCCCGCCCACAGGCTCGTTTTCAGAGAGTGGACCTTTCCCAGCGGCCAGACTCTGTCCCGTAGCGCAGTGGTGCAGCTCTTCTGTCGAGTCCAACACCGCCCAGGGTTTCGAGAGTTGATCTAGTGTCACAGGTTCTAGAGTCAGTGCAGCGAAGGCGGGTATTCCGAGAGTCTCGCCTCTCTGACAATGCTAGTCGAACTCTCAAATTATTTTGAGAGTCTAGAGTAGTGCAGCCAGGCCCCTAATGAAGGGTAGGGCCGACCACCCTTAAAAAAACCACCCTTGCAGGCAGGCACACTTGAACACTTCAAGAGCTGTCAGAATAGGGCCTTCTGACACCTCTTGAAAAAGAAATTCAAGAGCATCCGTCAAGATGAACACTTGATGAACCTAAGGCCAATCTGACAGCTCTTGAAGCTGTTTCCCAGCTTTGTTTTCGAGTGTAAGTGTGGCGGTGCACACTTGATTCTTCAAGATTCAAGTCTAGTGCAGCGAGGCCCTAAGTGTATGTGTSGCCCGGTTCTGAGTAYTTYATCCGTGACTTCACTCCGAAGTCAACAAGCGCGCAGTCCGTCCGGGTTCGTTGCTCAGAACACAAGTGCTTCCACTCCGCAATGTCGAACTCTGGGCCTCGCCCCACCACTCTCGAAATGTGCAAAACGAGAGTGAATCTTCCGCTAGAACATGGAAAGATACGCCGTTATGGTTTTCGTCTTTTGTGCATGTCGAGAGTACTGGAGCGRGGCCCTCTGTCTCTTCATCTCAGAAAATGGAYATAAGAAGCACGGAGTCGCGCCCCGAGAGCAGCACTGAGGAAGCGGGAGTATAGAGAGGTARGTGGAAAGGGCTTCGCGCCAAAGGTAGGTGTTTTATTGGTAGGGGTTGGCGGCAAAGGTAGGTGTTTTATTGGTATAGGTTTATTCTGTTCTAGAGGAGACGCTGCGGAGGGATACCTGGAGGGTCSAGGTGAGTGACAGGGAGGAGAAGCGATAGCGATGTCCTGAAGATCGACTCCTCCGTTGGATGTGAGAGAGCGCAGGTGCAGGTGGTGTTTCGCCGCTGTACAGTGCCTTGCGCGGGCCGACAGGGCGTCGCGCCGTCGGCAACGACAGCTCAACACGAAGGGGGGGGCGAGCGAGAGAGCAAAGAAAGAGCGGTATTCCCGAGAGCGAGATATGGCGCGAGCGGCTTTCTCTACGGCGTGGGCGATGGCGGCGATGAGTATCGTCTCCCTGCTGTCCCTGGCTCATTCAGGAACAGACGCTACGGTCCTGGGAGGCTACAAGGCCGACCTCCGCTACTTTGCCCATCAGGTGGCAGTTATAGTGAAGAAAGGCGCCGACGAGGTGTCGTGTGGAGGGACGATCCTTAGCAGCCAGTACGTCCTGACGGCGGCGCATTGCATCGGATTGGCGGGATTCGGTCCTGGGGAGAGTGCTGTGCCTATCGACAGTCAGATCACCGTGAGATATGGAAACGAAGACTGGTTGCTGGGAGACACAGCCCCAGTCGACCACGTGTGGGTGCACCAGGAGTACGAGACGAATGGGACGCTGAAGCAGAAGGACATTGCGGTCCTTCGCCTAAGCAGTGCCAATCCGATTGCGTACTCGAAGAGGGCGAGGCCCATCAAGCTGGCGCCGGAGGACAACAAGATGACACTTGGCGCCGATGTGGCGATCGCGGGGTGGGGATTGGGCAGCGCCAACGCATCGGGTGTTGCTACCCCGGCGCGCACTATCAAGGGAACGACGGTCAACACGATTCCAGACATGTGTCCCGTGGCGACGGTGTGGGGAAGCGACTACGTACCTTCCGCCATGCTTTGCGCCGGGTGCGACACGTCKAAGGCCGACTCCTGCCACGGCGACGACGGCGGAGCGCTCACCACTACCTCGTCTTCCGCGGGCTGTGCGATCGTCGTAGGGGTGGCTTCCCAGACCGTCTGCGGCGAGAGCACTCTCAAGCCGTCCGTGTACACACGCGTCGCCCCTTTCGTCGCCTGGATCGAGTCCATCGTGGGCATTCCCGTCCGCAGCACCTACGAATTGAACCCCAGAAGGGACTGCGACCAGTGCGTCAACCCTTCGGATCCCCCTCCATGCGGCAACGCGCCGGCGACGGTGGACAGGCAGCGGTGCAAAGTTGAAGGCGATCTCGCGGAGGCGTTCAAGCTCAGCTTCGACAGCCAACGTTGCATCAATGGCAGGACGCGCCTGAGGGCGCGATTCACCAAGCCCGTYGGCGGTGTCCCCGGCGGGCTGAACGGCGGCGTAGTCTATCTTCTGGCGGGAACGATGGCGGGAAGGGAAGTCTTCACGCTCGACGGCACGAGGGTCAACACGCCGCTCAGCGGACCTGTCGCGCAAGTGGCCAAAGCCAATTACAACGCCGCCGCCAAGGCATGGAAGATCAGGGTCCCCGGTTGCGCGAACAACGGCACGACCTACGCAGCGGTCTACAGATCAGCGCCCTCTCCGAACGCTCCCTATCTCTACTAYCAGGTCTCCCTCCCCGTCAGCTAAAAGGCACAGTCTAACTGATTCTTTACTTCGGCATAWAGGCTGATATAGCTGATCACACACACTCTTTTCACGCAAGAGATTCTCTGGAGAGCACACTACCGTATTGCCCCGAACACAACGCACCCTTRTTTTGGCCATATCTGACCGGAAATATAGCTTCGAATCTTCGATAGGTTCATTWTCAGGGTGCGTTATGCTCGGGGGACGACGGTAGGGCCGGTCGCCTCACAGCTCTATCAAGCTTTCGCTGTGTTTTTTCCTTTCTTCAATGGCTCGTGATGGCGGAGAGAGAAATCACTCGATTCCGTGATTCCGTGATTCCGTGGTTCCGTGATTCCGTGGTTCCGTGATTCCGTGATTCCGTGATTCCGTGATGATAGTGCAAGAAGATATACTAACTACAGGAGGGCGACGAGGAAACGTCGCCGTTCCCGCGGCTTTGCGTTTGTACAGACTGTAGAAAGTGCCACCGAAGGATTATTATGTTTCGGTATAACCACGAGTCCCGCTGCGCATTTAGTCTGTTGTATGTATGGTAGACCATGACGAGTATAATTTGGTTGCCAGTCTATACTCTCTCTCTATGGGAATAATGTGAGGGTGAGGGTGCTCACAACTTCGCAGACTGGCCGGAGTTGCGGCGTAGCCGCGTGTAATATCTCTCGGAGTCTCTCTTGTCATAGTGCTAGGCGGATTGTATCTTTTTTTGTTTTTTTTGTTTGAGGTGATTGTGTCTTTAGGCGGCAAGGATGCAGTAACCAGGTAGTTTACGGAGAGGTTTAGCAGATAACCGGATGGGTTTAAATTCTGATGCTCGCATGGCACGGGAGTAACTCAAGTTATATTTTCCCTCAGAGTCTTTGCTTTCCGCATTTGTAGCCCGCCTCCCAGTCGTTTCTGCGTTGGCAACTTGGCACGGTGCAGAATTTGCAATCCCGCTTTTGATGGCGAACTTCAAGTTACGATTCGTCAGATTTGATGCCAACAGATGGGGATCCTCCGGTCAAAGGCCTCGTCGGATCTTGCAAATACGTGGTAAAGAGGACGGGGAAAACGTCTGAGAAACAGATTGTAGTCSACAATAACAGTGCACAAAAGTAGCTTCTCGCTTACAAACATGAACGACGCTGACTCTATCTCTCTCTCGCTCTCTCTCCCTCCCACGGGTGGGGCCCGGGGGGGGGAGGGGGGGGCGCGGATCTCTATCTTTATCTTCGTGGAGAGAGAGAGAGAGAGAGAGAGAGAGAGAGAGAGAGAGAGAGAGAGAGAGAGAGAGAGAGAGAGAGAGGGCGGATCTCTATATTTAGCC